GTGCTGTGTGCACCCTGTGGGGGGGAGTGCTGTGTGCACCCTGTGGGGGGGAGTGCTGTGTGCACCCTGGGGGGTGCTGTGTGCACCCTGTGGGGGGGGGTGCTGGTGCAGGGTTATGTTTGTGTGAGGCCCTATCAGGACTGCCAGGGTCAGAAGAGCCTCTGACGCCCCCACAGACTGGGAGAGCTGAGGCAGGGGAAGGGGGGCATGGGTCTCAGAAAAGACCCAGCTGAGGCGCAAGTGGGCATCAGAGTTCCAGGATGGGCCTGGGAGGGCGTGGCAAGCTGAGCTCCAGTCTTGCCAGGGCAGATGCTCCCAGGAGGCCACCTACAAAATGTGTTCACAGCAGGGGAAGCAGCAGACGAGCAAGAGGACCTTGTCACCCCATGGGGGGCCTCAGCAATGGCTCCTCAGAACTCCCTTTTAAAACTCAGAACTATTTGAAGATCCAGTTCACCCTTGAACCATGACTTTGGCTGTTTACTTATCGGTTGTGGTGCCTGGTATGGAAACAACCTCACATGTTAGACAAGAACCAACAGGCCACACCTCCGCCTTAGAGCCGCGAGTCTGGGACTTTAAATGCCCAGGTCCACCGGTCAGTGCTGCCACTTTGTACCCGAGGCCAGAGCCTCAGCAACCTCCCTTGGATAAGACGTGGACCCTCAACTGCCCAGCTTGGTCGGCACTTAGCCTTGCACAGGGCCACCCCACCCAGGACAGACATCTTCATGACAGAGATCCTTCCAAGGACCCACACAAACCCCCAGAACTAAAGATGCACATGATTCAGATGACAAGTCCAGCCAGGTTGACAGAATTCTGGTTTTATCCACAGCCATACAGTCACAACTGAGATAGATAGATATATATATTTGTATTTATATACCTTTCGATTTCACAATCATGTACAAAACAGGTGCATTGCTGAGACCACAGCACTCTCGGAGTTTCACAAGTGTCTGGAACTAATGGAGTCAGGAAGCCTAGGGCAGCAGACGCAGTGGCGGCGGGCGACGGGCGGGCGGCGGCGGGGCAGCCTTGGCTCCTCCCCGGAACCAGGCTACAGGGTCGTGGTTTAACAGGGGACGAAACAGGTCACTGACCGAGCCCTGCAGGGTCTCGTGCAGCATCAGTGGGGGCCCTTGGGGAGTACAGGAGGGGTGTGGACATGGCGAGGGGTATGGTCCAGCCCAAGGTTGAGTGCCCTGACACCAGGAACGGACAGGTGGGGCTTGGCTCAGGGCTCTAGGGACTTCCAGGGGGGAGACCCTTCAGCACCGTGGTGCTGAGGCGCTTGAGGACCAAGTCTGGTCCCAAATGGGGTCACTGAAGGTGATTCTTCGTAAGGGATAGATTTTCCAGTCCCTGCCCAGGAGTGGGCAGCTAGTGTACTGAGGGAGGGGCAGGCCTGGGGTCTGGACAGGACCACAGCCCCTTCCCAGGTGCTGGGAAGCCGCTGGTGCAGAGGGGGAGCCCAGGCCCCAAGGTGCAGGCATGGCGGCTTCTTGCCTTTCCGGGGTGTGAGGAAAGGTAAGGGGTGAAGGACTCCTGCCAGCTGGGGAGGCAGGAGGAGCTATGGAAAAAGGAGGGCTTTGAATCCTGCTTCAGGTCCTGAGGGGCCCAGGACCCAACCTAGGCTGCAGCTGAAGCCCCTAGGGCAAACAGTGATAAGGAAGGGGGGTGCTGGCAGCCCTGTCCATAGGGTGCCACGCTCATGGCCCTGAGGGAGGACTGCCCAACATAGGCCCCCGCCACAGCCCTACTCATGAGAAGGGGGATCAGAGCCCCAGTGCTTGGGTCCATGACCTAACAGTGTCAGAAGAAGTAGCAGGGAGCTAAGGGGTCCTAGAGAACTCAGGGCCACGTACTCTTTCCCTGGAGGCCCAAAAGGCCACCTATTCAGGGGGCAGAGGGTGTCTGTGGCCCAGAGGCCTAGCAGACACCAGCTGTGAGCATGGGACTTCTCAGGTCCTTGTTCCCAAAGATCCGGATAATCAGCCTCTGACCAGTCTCCCCCGGGTTTTTTTTTTCCAACCTGTCTGCTTCCCACTCACCCACCCAAGGAGAGCTGCTATCCCCTTTCCAACCGCAAGGGCCCTGTGTCCCCTCCGACCCCCAGGAGTCCTTTAATGGAGACTCAGGCTTAGAGAAATGGGGGGCTGCCAGCACTCAGGGGGTAATGTTGGAAAACCAAAAGAGACAAGGAAAATACAGTGACCATCCAGAGTTCCTTTCTCGGGCCAGCCTGAGCTGCTGGCTTCCCCTTACAGTGCCAAGCGGGGTGCCCCCCTGAGCCCGTGTGTCTCCCCAGG